AAATAAAAGATCATTGTTAGGGCTTACATAAACTTTAATGGCCACCCTCCCCAACTGCATATACTTACTTTCACTTGTCTTATCACGTCTTTTCACGGCTGCCAGGTATAAAGAGAAATCTCCCACAAGTCGACACTGTTGTTTGGTGATTGGGCACTCAGACACCCAACACTATCAAACAAGTTGACTGCATTCCAGTGACACTCCAAAGACACCAGCCCTCACAGAGATTTACTATTCCTGGACTAGATCACAGAAGAGTCTGCCCAGACCAAGCCTCAACCAATATTCTCCACTCCAAAACGATTTAAAATAGAAGTATGGGTTTGTAAAAAAACAAACATTCCTACTCACCCTGGTGGATGCAGCACCCATTCATGCTGCATCTGTCCCCTGCTGGCATTAAGACCGAGAACTGAGTGAGCAAACACCACTGATCACTCGGTTCTTGGCCTTCAGTCTGCAGAGAGCTGGTGGCTGTCACTGGCTCTCTGCTCTGCCGCTCTAGAGCTCACTGGAGCACCAGGTTGTTGAGGGGGTAGGAGCTCCTGGCTCAGTCTCCTGGTGGCTCACTAAGAGGCTGAAGCATCTGCCGGTTCAGGCATCTGGGTGGATCTTGACTAGAGATGAGCGAAGTATTCAAAAATTAGATTCGGCGAATTCGAGGAATAAATTCGATTCGATGCGAATATATTCGCTGCGAATTTAACTTATAAAAGGGTGTTTCTAGGCTTCAGAGAGCCTTTATATTAGTGCAGAACACTGTACCTTTAATTTAAATGCCCTTGGAGTCTGCTGGGGAAGAGAAATAATACTGTCAGTCAGTATGACATGCAGATGAGTGCCGTCGATCTTAGAATCACCGCACACTTCACTCATTTGGGCAGTCACGGGGCCAAAACCAGAGTGTGGAGCCACAGTGTGGCGGTGGAGGCAGCAGCAATGGGAGGCCATACAGCACCCTATGACAAAAATGGAACCCACCAGCAGTGTGAGGAGACCTGAAAGTGGCACATGGCAGAGTGTGGCGATGGAGACAGCAGCAATGGGAGGCCGTACAGGGACCCATGACACACTCTGGACCTGGCAGCAGCATTAGGAGGTGGTACAGGGGCCCATGGCAGATTACGGGCCTGGCAGCAGCAATGGGAGGCCCGTAATCTGCCAGCACCCTATGACAAAATGGAACCCACCAGCAGTGTGAGGAGACCTGAAAGTGGCACATGTTTGGGGCATGATTCATGGCGGATTTAGTCAGTTGTGTCAGGAACTGGTGGTTTGAAATCCAGACTAATCCACGCCTGATTCATTTTCACAAACGTGAGTCTCTCCACACTTTGGGTGGACAGTCGTGTCCTCCGCGGAGTTACAATACCTCCTGCCGCACTAAACACGCGCTCCGATGCCACGCTACTGGCCGGGCATGACAGCCTTTCAAGGGCAAATTCAGCTAGTTGGGGCCAAAGGTCAAGTTTCGTTGCCCAGTAGTCAAGGGGATTGTCTACCTCGGTTGGCAGGGTGCTGTCCAAGTAGGCCCAAGCCTGTTGTTTGAGGTCCTGCTCCAGGTCCACCTGATGCTGCTGCTGCGGCTGGTTAGTAGTTTCCTCCTCACTGCGCTGGTGAAGAAAGCTACTCATCATCGACTGCAGACTGAGGCAGCCGCTGCTGGTGGAGCTGCCACTGCTCCTACCATCCCACCCCTCCCCTGCTGCCATGGCAGCGGAACGCGAGCGCACAGGGCCCACAGTGTCTGAGGATGGACGTTGGCGCACAAAGGCAGAGACCAACTGACTACATAGGTGGTTTTTATAGTACGTTATTTTGGCCTCCCTCTCAGCAGGTGTGAAAAAGGCCACCATTTTTGAACGGTAGCGAGGGTCCAACAAGGTGGACAGCCAAAAGTCATCCCTCTGTCTGATGGTTATTATTCGGCTGTCGCTACGCAAGCAACCGAGCATGCTATGGGCCATTTGTGCCAAGGAATGCGAGGGACTCCCTGCCTCCATCTCCACAGCATACTGCCACGGTGCGTCTGGGTCCTCTGTCTCCTCCTCCTCCTCCTCTACCAGATGCTCCTGCTCCTCCACTCCTGTCCGCTGAGTGGAAAAACCACCCATTTCACTCAATAATTCCTGAGCACCAATGTCCTCCTCTACCTCCTCCTCTTCTTCCTGTCCTGCCCCCACAGGGGTCATGTGGCGTTGAGATCTGTGCGCCACATCTACCGCACCCTGACCAGCCATTGTTAACAGCATTTGTTCCAGGACGTGCAACAGAGGAATGACGTCGTTCATCCCATAGTCCTGCCGACTCACGAATAGCGTGGCCTCCTCAAAGGGCCTCAGCAAGCGGCAGGTGTCACGCATGAGCTGCCAATGGCTGACATCTAAGTTACACAGGGGAGTACCTTTATCCGCTTGTAACATCAGGAAATCTGTGATGGCCTTTCGCTGTTCGTAAAGGCGGTCTAACATATGTAGGGGTTGAATTCCACCTTGTTGCAACGTCACAGCATGAGGAGTCGGTACGGGGGCCCATGGCAGATTACGGGCCTGGCAGCAGCAATGGGAGGCCCGTAATCTGCCAGCACCCTATGAAAAAATGGAACACACCAGCAGTGTGAGGAGACCTGAAAGTGGCACATGGCAGAGTGTGTGGCGATGGAGACAGCAGCAATGGGAGGCCGTACAGGGACCCATGAGAGACTCTGGACCTGGCAGCAGCATGAGGAGGCGGTACAGGGGGCCCATGGCAGATTACGGGCCTGGCAGCAGCAATGGGAGGCCCGTAATCTGCCAGCACCCTATGACAAAATGGAACACACCAGCAGTGTGAGGAGACCTGAAAGTGGCACATGGCAGAGTGTGGCGATGGAGACAGCAGCAATGGGAGGCCGTACAGGGACCCATGAGACACTCTGGACCTGGCAGCAGCATGAGGAGGCGGTACAGGGGCCCATGGCAGATTACAGGCCTGGCAGCAGCAATGGGAGGCCCGTAATCTGCCAGCACCCTATGACAAAATGGAGACACACACCCTGGCAGCAGTGTGAGGAGACCTGAAAGTGGCACATGGCAGAGTGTGGCGATGGAGACAGCAGCAATGGGAGGCCGTACAGGGACCATGAGAGACTCTGGACCTGGCAGCAGCATGAGGGAGGCGGTACAGGGGCCCATGGCAGATTACGGGCCTGGCAGCAGCAATGGGAGGCCCGTAATCTGCCAGCACCCTATGACAAAATGGAACACACCAGCAGTGTGAGGAGACCTGAAAGTGGCACATGGCAGAGTGTGGCGATGGAGACAGCAGCAATGGGAGGCCGTACAGGGACCCATGAGACACTCTGGACCTGGCAGCAGCATGCATGAGGAGGCGGTACAGGGGCCCATGGCAGATTACAGGCCTGGCAGCAGCAATGGGAGGCCCGTAATCTGCCAGCACCCTATGACAAAATGGAACACACCAGCAGTGTGAGGAGACCTGAAAGTGGCACATGGCAGAGTGTGGCGATGGAGACAGCAGCAATGGGAGGCCGTACAGGGACCCATGAGAGACTCTGGACCTGGCAGCAGCATGAGGAGGCGGTACAGGGGCCCATGGCAGATTACGGGCCTGGCAGCAGCAATGGGAGGCCCGTAATCTGCCAGCACCCTATGACAAAATGGACACACCAGCAGTGTGAGGAGACCTGAAAGTGGCACATGGCAGAGTGTGGCGATGGAGACAGCAGCAATGGGAGGCCGTACAGGGACCCATGAGAGACTCTGGACCTGGCAGCAGCAGCATGAGGAGGCGGTACAGGGGCCCATGGCAGATTACAGGCCTGGCAGCAGCAATGGGAGGCCCGTAATCTGCCAGCACCCTATGACAAAATGGAACACACCAGCAGTGTGAGGAGACCTGAAAGTGGCACATGGCAGAGTGTGGCGATGGAGACAGCAGCAATGGGAGGCCGTACAGGGACCCATGAGAGACTCTGGACTGGCTGCAGATTACGGGCCTGGCAGCAGCATTTAGGGATCTGCCACCATGGCAGCAGCATGAGGCATGGACTGGCTCTGGGCTGGCAGCCATGAGGCGGTTACAGGGGCCCATGGCAGATTACGGGCCTGGCAGCAGCAATGGGAGGCCCGTAATCTGCCAGCACCCTATGACAAAATGGAAACACCACCAGCAGTGTGAGGAGACCTGAAAGTGGCACATGGCAGAGTGTGGCGATGGAGACAGCAGCAGCAATGGGAGGCCGTACAGGGACCCATGAGAGACTCTGGACCTGGCAGCAGCATGAGGAGGCGGTACAGGGGCCCATGGCAGATTACGGGCCTGGCAGCAGCAATGGGAGGCCCGTAATCTGCCAGCACCCTATGACAAAATGGAACACACCAGCAGTGTGAGGAGACCTGAAAGTGGCACATGGCAGAGTGTGGCGATGGAGACAGCAGCAATGGGAGGCCGTACAGGGACCCATGAGAGACTCTGGACCTGGCAGCAGCATGAGGAGGCGGTACGGGGGCCCATGGCAGATTAGGCCTGGGCAGCAGCAATGGGAGGCCCGTAATCTGCCAGCACCCTATGACAAAAAATGGAACACACCAGCAGTGTGAGGAGACCTGAAAGTGGCACATGGCAGAGTGTGGCGATGGATGGAGACAGCAGCAATGGGAGGCCGTACAGGGACCCATGAGACACTCTGGACCTGGCAGCAGCATGAGGAGGCGGTACAGGGGCCCATGGCAGATTACGGGCCTGGCAGCAGCAATGGGAGGCCCGTAATCTGCCAGCACCCTATGACAAAATGGAACACCACCAGCAGTGTGAGGAGACCTGAAAGTGGCACATGGCAGAGTGTGGCGATGGAGACAGCAGCAATGGGAGGCCGTACAGGGACCCATGAGAGACTCTGGACCTGGCAGCAGCATGAGGAGGCGGGTACAGGGGCCCATGGCAGATTACGGGCCTGGCAGCAGCAATGGGAGGCCCGTAATCTGCCAGCACCCTATGACAAAATGGAACACACCAGCAGTGTGAGGAGACCTGAAAGTGGCACATGGCAGAGTGTGGCGATGGAGACAGCAGCAATGGGAGGCCGTACAGGGACCCATGAGAGACTCTGGACCTGGCAGCAGCATGAGGAGGCGGTAGGTACGGGTACAGGGCCCATGGCAGATTACGGGCCTGGCAGCAGCAATGGGAGGCCCGTAATCTGCCAGCACCCTATGACAAAAAATGGAACACACCACCAGCAGTGTGAGGAGACCTGAAAGTGGCACATGGCAGAGTGTGTGGATGGAGACAGCAGCAATGGGAGGCCGTACAGGGACCCATGAGAGACTCTGGACCTGGCAGCAGCATGAGGAGGCGGTACAGGGGGGGGCCCATGGCAGATTACGGGCCTGGCAGCAGCAATGGGAGGCCCGTAATCTGCCAGCACCCTATGACAAAAAATGGAACACACCAGCAGTGTGAGGAGACTGAAAGTGGCACATGGCAGAGTGTGGCGATGGAGACAGCAGCAATGGGAGGCCGTACAGGGACCCATGAGACTCTGGACCTGGACTCTGGACCTGGCAGCAGCATGAGGAGGCGGTACAGGGGCCCATGGCAGATTAGGGGCCTGGCAGCAGCAATGGGAGGCCCGTAATCTGCCAGCACCCTATGACAAAATGGAACACACCAGCAGTGTGAGGAGACCTGAAAGTGGCACATGGCAGTGTGTGGCGATGGAGACAGCAGCAATGGGAGGCCGTACAGGGACCCATGAGACACTCTGGACCTGGCAGCAGCATGAGCATGAGGAGGCGGTACAGGGGCCCATGGCAGATTACGGGCCTGGCAGCAGCAATGGGAGGCCCGTAATCTGCCAGCACCCTATGACAAAAAATGGAACACACCAGCAGTGTGAGGAGACCTGAAAGTGGCACATGTTTGGGGCATGATTCATGGCGGATTTAGTCAGTTGTGTCAGGAACTGGTGGTTTGAAATCCAGACTAATCCACGCCTGATTCTCACAAACGTGAGTCTCTCCACACTTTGGGTGGACAGTCGTGTCCTCCGCGGAGTTACAATACCTCCTGCCGCACTAAACACGCGCTCCGATGCCACGCTACTGGCCGGGCATGACAGCCTTTCAAGGGCAAATTCAGCTAGTTGGGGCCAAAGGTCAAGTTTCGTTGCCCAGTAGTCAAGGGGATTGTCTACCTCGGTTGGCAGGGTGCTGTCCAAGTAGGCCCAAGCCTGTTGTTTGAGGTCCTGCTCCAGGTCCACCTGATGCTGCTGCTGCTGCTGCGGCTGGTTAGTAGTTTCCTCACTGCGCTGGTGAAGAAAGCTACTCATCATCGACTGCAGACTGAGGCAGCCGCTGCTGGTGGAGCTGCCACTGCTCCTACCACCCCACCCCTCCCCTGCTGCCATGGCAGCGGAACGCGAGCGCACAGGGCCCACAGTGTCTGAGGATGGACGTTGGCGCAGAAAGGCAGAGACCAACTGACTACATAGGTGGTTTTTATAGTACGTTATTTTGGCCTCCCTCTCAGCAGGTGTGAAAAAGGCCACCATTTTTGAACGGTAGCGAGGGAGGGTCCAACAAGGTGGACAGCCAAAAGTCATCCCTCTGTCTGATGGTTATTATTCGGCTGTCGCTACGCAAGCAACCGAGCATGCTATGGGCCATTTGTGCCAAGGAATGCGAGGGACTCCCTGCCTCCATCTCCACAGCATACTGCCACGGTGCGTCTGGGTCCTCTGTCTCCTCCTCCTCCTCCTCTACCAGATGCTCCTGCTCCTCCACTCCTGTCCGCTGAGTGGAAAAACCACCCATTTCACTCAATAATTCCTGAGCACAAATGTCCTCCTCTACCTCCTCCTCTTCTTCCTGTCCTGCCCCCACAGGGGTCATGTGGCGTTGAGATCTGTGCGCCACGTCTACCGCACCCTGACCAGCCATTGTTAACAGCATTTGTTCCAGGACGTGCAACAGAGGAATGACGTCGTTCATCATAGTCCTGCCGACTCACGAATAGCGTGGCCTCCTCAAAGGGCCTGAGCAAGCGGCAGGTGTCACGCATGAGCTGCCAATGGCTGACATCGAAGTTACACAGGGGAGTACCTTTATCCGCTTGTAACATCAGGAAATCGGTGATGGCCTTTCGCTGTTCGTAAAGGCGGTCTAACATGTGTAGGGTTGAATTCCACCTTGTTGCAACGTCGCAGATCAGGCGATGCTGTGGAATTCCGTTCTGCCGCTGCAGCTCAAGGAGGGTGTGCTTTGCGGTGTAGGAATGGCTGAAATGCATGCAAAGTTTACGTGACATTTTAAGGATGTCTTGCAGTGGGATGGTGGATTTTAGGAACCGCTTGACAACCAGATTGAACACGTGAGCCATGCATGGCGCATGGCACAACCTTCCTTGACGCAGAGCAGACACCATGTTCTTTCCGTTGTCGGTCAACATGGTTCCGATTTTCAGTTTGCGCGGAGACAGCCTATCTGTCGATTTCTCTGTTCATTACACTCAGAAGTTCCTCCCCTGTGTGACTACGTTCGCCAAGGCATACCAGGTGCAGCACAGCGTGACACCGTTGCGCCCTGCACATGTGATATGCCGGTCGGGTAATGGGACTTGGCACGGGGGTGGCGGCTGAGGACACGGCGGAAGAAGAGGTGGTAGAGGCGGACATCTTTTGTGGACCAAGGACGTGCAAACGTGGAGGCAAAAAAGCGGCGTGACCTGTCCAAGTTGCTGGTGCGGCTGTGCCGGCACCACGTTCACCCAGTGGGCCGTAAATGACATGTACTGTCCCTGACCGTAGTTACAGCTCCACACGTCGGCGCTGCCGTGCACTTTGGCAGAGACCGACATGCTCAAAGACTGGCCCACCATCTCTTCTACATGTGAATGCAGGGCTGGCACTGCCTTTTTGGCGAAGAAATGCCGGCTTGGCACTCTCCACCGCGGCGCGCGGCACAAGCCATCATTTCTCGGAAAGGTGCTGAGTCCACCACTTGGAAAGGGAGGGACTGCAGCACCAGCAACTTGGACAGGAGGACGTTCAGCTTTTGCACCGTCGGGTGCGTGCTCGCAAACTGTTGTCTCTTGGAAACGGATTCCAAGAAAGACTGCTGACGGAATCCGTGAAGAGGAGTAGCAGGAGAAGGAGCATCTGAACGAGCGGAAGATGCCAACGAGCGACAACAACTCCCCTCAGCAGAGGTGTTGGAGCCTTGACTGGCTGATAGAGGGCGATTGACGTCGGGTGACGGAGCAAGTAACGGGAGCGGGTGATGGAGCGGGGGCTGGGGCAGGCAGAACCGCCGTATCTTTATCACGGTTTTCCCAGGCCACCAAATGGCGACGCTGCATATGCTGACGCAACGCTGTAGTCCCAACATGGGCCCCCTGGCCACGCTTGACTTTCTGGCACACATAGTCGACATACGGCTACGTTTACTTCCTCGGGCGGCTTGACGAAAAATTGCCACACCGCCGAGTAGGAAACTTTGCCCCCTACTCCTCACTGGCTGACTGCTACTTCCTCCGTGCACACCGGCACCACTACTGGCCGTGGTGGTAGGCTGCAGTGGAGCTGGTGCTCTACTCCGTGGCCGTTTGCCTCCACTGACACTGCTGCGACCCTGCTGCCTCCTGGGCAACCCACCGACTGTTTTGCTCGCTGCCAAGCTGGCACCCTCTTCTCCTGATGATGCGGAAGCAATAGCCTGATGACGACGAGGCTGCCAAGTGCGATCAGCCTCATCATCATCAATTAGGGTCTCCGCCTCACTACTAGCCCCCTCGGCTGCGTGTGGGTCAGGAGACAGACCTGTCTCTAGACCGGCTACCGAGCCACTCTCCTCGCCAGTACTTCTTCGCCTGGCTGCTGAAGAGGCGGATGTCTCCCCCCGTTCCTGACCGCCCTCTGTTAGCTCTTCCTCACTGTACAGTGGGGCTGAGCCCACAGCATGCGATACTTCGCTTGGTGAGGGAACACCAAAGGACAGGGGCAGGTAGAGGACACGTGATTTCAGTGGGCTTGCTCCCGGGCCATGCCAACTAACGGTTGTGTCTGACGTACCCACCGACCGTTGGCTGTAGGTGTCAGAGGTGACCTGGGAAGAGGAAGACGACCGAGCCAACCAATCGATGACGGCAGGGTTGTCGGTGGAGACACGACCGCTGGATGACACGGGAGCACTGGCCTCTGGCTGCGACTAGTGCTGCCTCGACCCCTTCCTCTGCTGCCACGTCTGCTCGCTCCTAAAACATTGCCTCCTCTGCCACTCCTCTGCATGTTGTCTGACATACTCTTTAATTACTCTTTAATTAACGATTCTGTGTCCCTGAGTAACAATTCTGTGTCTGTCCCTGAGTAACAATTCTGTGTCCCTGAGTAACAATTCTGTGTCCCTGAGTAACAATTCTGTGTCCTGAGTAACAATTCTGTGTCCCTGAGTAACAATTCTGTGTCCCTGAGTAACAATTCTGTGTCCCTGAGTAACAATTCTGTGTCCCTGAGTAACAATTCTGTGTCCCTCAGTAACAATTCTGTGTCCCTGAGTAACAATTCTGTGTCCCTCAGTAACAATTCTGTGTCCCTGAGTAACAATTCTGTGTCCCTCAGTAACAATTCTGTGTCCCTCAGTAACAATTCTGTGTCCCTGAGTAACAATTCTGTGTCCCTCAGTAACAATTCTGTGTCCCTCAGTAACAATTCTGTGTGTCCCTGAGTAACAAATTCTGTGTCCCTGAGTAACAATTCTGTGTCCCTCAGTAACAATTCTGTCTGTCCCTGAGTAACAATTCTGTGTCCCTGAGTAACAATTCTGTGTCCCTGAGTAACAATTCTGTGTCCCTCAGTAACAATTCTGTGTCTGTCCCTGAGTAACAATTTCTGTCCCCCCTGAGTAACAATTCTGTGTCCCTCAGTAACAATTCTGTGTCCCTCAGTAACAATTCTGTGTCTGTCCCTGAGTAACAATTCTGTGTCCCTGAGTAACAATTCTGTGTCCCTGAGTAACAATTCTGTGTCCCTCAGTAACAATTCTGTGTCCCTCAGTAACCTGAGTAAACAATTCTGTGTGTCCCTGAGTAACAATTCTGTGTCCCTCAGTAACAATTCTGTGTCCCTCAGTAACAATTCTGTGTCTGTCTCTGAGTAACAATTCTGTGTCCCTCAGTAACAATTCTGTGTCCCTCAGTAACAATTCTGTGTCCCTCAGTAACAATTCTGTGTCCCTCAGTAACAATTCTGTGTCCCTCAGTAACAATTCTGTGTCTGTCCCTGAGTAACAATTCTGTGTTGTCCCTGAGTAACAATTCTGTGTCCCTCAGTAACAATTCTGTGTCCCTAACAATTCTGTGTCCTCAGTAACAATTCTGTGTCCCTGTAACTGTTCTGTGTCCCTGAGTAACAATTCTGTGTCTGTAACCTGAGTCCCTGAGTAACAATTCTGTGTCCCTCAGTAACAATTCTGTGTCCCTAGTAGTAACAATTCTGTGTCCCTGAGTAACAATTCTGTGTCCTCAGTAACAATTCTGTGTCTGTCCCTGAGTAACAATTCTGTGTCTGTCCCTGAGTAACAATTCTGTGTCTGTCCCTGAGTAACAATTCTGTGTCTGTCCCTGAGTCCCTGAGTAACAATTCTGTGTCCCTGAGTAACAATTCTGTGTCCCTCAGTAACAATTCTGTGTGTCCCTCAGTAACAATTCTGTGTCTGTCCCTGAGTAACAATTCTGTGTCTGTCCCTGAGTAACAATTCTGTGTCCCTCAGTAACAATTCTGTGTCCCTCAGTAACAATTCTGTGTCCCCCTCAGTAACAATTCTGTGTCTGTCCCTGAGTAACAATTCTGTGTCTGTCCCTGAGTAACAATTCTGTGTCTGTCCCTCAGTAACAATTCTGTGTCCCTCAGTAACAATTCTGTGTCCCTCAGTAACAATTCTGTGTCCCTCAGTAACAATTCTGTGTCTGAGTAACAATTCTGTGGCCCTAAGTAACGGTTCTGTGGCCCTAAGTAACGGTTCTGTGGCCCTAAGTAACGATTCTGTGTCCCTAAGTAACGTTTTCTGTGTCCCTAAGTAACGATTCTGTGGCCCTAACTCTCTCCCTCAATACAGACAGGTCTGCCTCTCTTGAATGACTGGAGGCAAATGGAGAATTCTAAAATGGCCGCAATTTATAGCTCGACCATTACACAGTGCTGGCTGGCTGGCTGCTGATTGGCTAATGCGATCACATGTCATGAATGAATGCATTATGGGTCAGCGCGCCTTGTCTGCGCGCCTTCCCAGAGATCCCCGCTCCGTCGCCGCACATGTCGCCGCCATTTTAGGAAAAATTTCGATTCGCGCATCCGAAGTCTGCTAATTTTCGGATTCGTCGCGAATTGAAATTTTCCTAATATTCGAAACGAATTCCACTTCGCCAAGTTCGATTCGCTCATCTCTAATCTTGACTGTCAGGTTCATTCCTGAGCCTGTAGTGGCTGAGGGATGTCAGCCAACAGTGGTGTTTAGCCTGCTGTCGGCTGAAAACGGAACACAGGATTACAGAACGAACTGCACGCCTGTGACCAACAAGAGAAGTATAGCCAAAAGAGCTTCAGCCATACGCTCCTTTAAGTTAAATCTCTATAATTGAAACTGAAGTTTAGTGTCAGAGCATACCTGACTTGTGTTTTAGTGCAGACCCAGATGAATGAAAATTGCATTAAAAAATGCATCAAATTTGCATAAAAAATGCAATCAAGTTGCACTACATAATCACACTGAAAATTGGATCAAATCACAGCTGCTGCAGTATTGTCAACCTAGCCTTAGGAGTATCTTACAAAAATGAAATTTGTGATGCAGAGGATACCTAATATCTAACTTAGTGCAGATTTCTGGGGAAAATCAGTGAGCCAATCTTACCAGCAGGAAAGGAAATTTCTGGGGGCGCATAAAGGTTGCCATACTGCAATAAATTTTACAGAAAATTACCACAGCTGCAGATTGAAAAGGAAAGGTTGTTTTTAATAACATTCAATTACAATATGACTTGTGTACAGTTGCAAGAAAAAGTATGTGAACCCCTTGGGATTACGTGGAGTTTTGCATGAATTGGGCATAAAATGTGCTCTGAACATCATCTAAGTCACAACAATAGAAGAACACAGTCTGCTGAACATAATACTACACAAACATTAGATGTTGTCATGGTTTAATTGCACATGACATGTAAACATTCACAGTGCAGGGAGGAAAAAGTATGTGAGGCCCTAGCTCAATGACTTCTCCCAGAGCTAATTGGAGCCAGGAGTGAGCCAACCTTGACTCCAATCAGTGTGATGATATTGGATGTGTTGCTGACAGCTGTCCTGCCCTTAAAAAACACACACCTGTTTTGGGTTTACTGGTTTCAAGAAGCACTGTCTGATGTGAACCATGCTGATTTCGCAATTGTTGATTTGCATGAAGCCTGTCTCAATGGGTTTACTAGAGCTAATTGGAGCCAGGGTGAGCCAAACCTTGACTCCAATCTGTCTGTGTTGATATTGGATGTTTGCAGACAGCTGGTCCTGCCCTTAAAACCACACAATTTTTTTTTTTTTTTTTTTTTTTGGGTTTATTTTTTTTTTGGTTTTTTTTTGTTTTTTTATTTGCCAAGTTTTAGGGGGGCTTCCTCTGGGGGGGGGGTGGGTTACAATTTGTGGGGGGGGTGGGTGTGGGGGGGTGGGGGGGGTACCATGCTTCGCAGAAAAGAGCTCTCAGAAGACCTACGATCAAGAATTGTTGATTTGCATGAAGGTGAGAAGAGGGTTACAAAAGTATCTCCAAAAAGCCGGGGGGGGGGGATGTTCATGTGTTGGGTTAAGACATTTTTTCTTTGTCTTTGTAGAAAAATGACAAATGAGAAAGAGGCGGGGTGGGTGGAGGAGTGTGGCACTGTTGGGGGGCGTGGTCGGCGGGGGGGGGGGTTGGGGCAAGAGCACAGCGCAGAATGCTGCATGAGGTAAAGAAGAATCCCAGATTGTCAGCTAAAGACCTACAGAGGGTGGGAGGGGTTGGGGCTGATTATTCTATAACTTGTAATTCTAGGTAATCCGACTGGGCAGGATCTGGCACATGCGGGGGGAGGGGGGGGGGGGGGGGAGGGTTGGGGGGGGGGGGGGGGGGGGGGTGGGGGGAGGTTTGTTGACACATCTACAATAAAGGAAAACATTAAACAAGAATGGAGTACATGGAGGACACCACGGAGGAAGCAAAAAGAATATTGCAGCACGTTTGAAGTTTGCAAAAGAGCACCTGGATGTTCCACAACACTACTGGCAAAATATACTGTGGACAGATGAAACCAAGATTGAGTTGTTTGGGAAGAACACACAACACTATGTGTGGAGAAAAAAAGGTACAGCACACCAACATCAAAACCTCATCCCCACTGTAAAACATGGCGGAGGGAGCATCATGGTTTGGGGCTGCTTTGCTGCCTCAGGGCCTGGACGGATTGTTGTCATTGATGGGAAAATGAATTCCAGAGTTTATCAAGACATTTTGCAGGAAAACGTACGACCATCTGTCCGCCAACTGAAGCTCGGCAGAGGATGGGTGATGCAGCAGGACAATGACCCAAAGCATACAAGTAATCCAACAAAACAATGGCTGCAACAGCACAGAATACGCCTTCTGGAGTGGCCCAGTCAGAGTCCTGACCTCAACCCGATTGAAATGCTGTGGCATGACCTTAAGAGAGCGATTCACACCAGACATCCCAAGAATATTGCTACACTGAAACAGTTTTGTGAAGAGGAGTGGTCCAAAATTACTCCAGATCGTTGTGCAGGTCTGATCTGCAACTACAGGAAACGTTTGGTTGAGGTTATTGCTGCCAAAGGAGGGTCAACAAGTTAATAAGTCCAAAGGTTCACATACTTTTTCCTCCTCCCTGCACTGTGAATGTTTACATGTTATGTGCAATTAAACCATGGCAACATCTAATGTTTGTGTAGTATTATGTTCAGCAGACTGTGTTCTTCTATTGTTGTGACTTAGATGACGTTCAGAGCACATTTTATGCCCAATTCATGCAAAACTCCACGTAATCCAAAGGGGTTCACATACTTTTTCTTGCAACTGTAACAATATATGCTATATTTATTTTCATTTGTTTATTTTTTTTTGAGTTACCCTTTAGACTCCTCTGGTTGTAGACTGCTGGAATGTTTCTACATACAGTATGGTGTAAATTATTGACTGTGTCTCTATGAATTGATTAGTATAATATGGTGATGAGGTTTTTCATACATGAAATCCTATGAGATCATCTCATGCATAATAAATTCAGAGCTCTTCTTTAAACAACGACTTCAACTTGTTATAAAAATCTTGTTGCAGTGGATCATGTATTATTGCTGTATGAATGAATAATCTAACAATGCACCAGGAAACATGCATGTGTCTACCATATTGATAATTGTGTAAACTTTCATAATTGGATGGCTGCCTATAATTAAAACAAATGATTTCAAATGTAAAGCAAATACATTTTCCTCTGCTTAGTCAAAGTCCCTATGCTATCAAGCAACCATTGTATTAATACCAGACCTACGCTATGTCATTGAGAAAATAGGAAGGGAGGTGACACCAAAATGTCATAATCGTGTCTTTCCAGCGTGCCTGGCCCAAGGGCCTCCTTGTCAGACTTCAGAAACAA